CACAGTTATGATCCATCCCATGAATCTATACCAATTTTGAGTGTAGCTGCTGTGATGCATTCATTGTCTAGTATATGAAACATGGGGCAAACACAATGTGTATTTACTACAGTGATATTTTTACTACATTGTAACCCTAAATCCATATTAAATGAAATCACACTGGAACCAGTCTGTTGACCAATTAAAGCAACACTTGCTTTGGAGACATTCCTCACTCCCGCTGTCAGGAATACTGTTTTTCCATTCCGTGTAAGGTAAGTATTTTGTGTACTCTTTCGTGATTCATTTCAAGGGTTTATTTTTATTAAGTGATAATTCCAGTGTTAAGAAACTCAACCAACAGGAAAATGCATACATTGTTTATATTGATTGATTGATCCACTTATTTAAAAGTATTTCTTGGGCACCATCTATGTGCCAAACACTCACTAGATGTTCGGAAGGACAGTGCTGGGGAGGGTAAATCCTACCTTAGTCTTCATGGATCTTATTATCTCTGAAGGCGCAGCATTGGGCATTGAATGAATGACTCGATGAAGTTTGATATTGGTAGGTGTGATCTATGATAGAGAACTGAATGCAGACCCTAAAGTAGATGATTGCTAATATAGTTAGGGTCACAGTGAACACATTATCATTTGTTTCTCCCATTTTAAATTTTTTTCATTTTTATTATCTTCTGCTTTTGCTTGAATAGAGGTTTTTCTGTGTTTTATCTTGTTGCTGGTGGTGGGTTGTGTTTTTTTTTGTTGTTGTTTGTTTTCTTTATATGAAATCCAGAAGAGGTAAATCTAGAGAGAGTAGCAAGATGAATAGTTCTGTATGGTTATGTCTGGGGAGTTTGAGGGTTAATGAGGAGTTAATAATAATGGGAGCAAGAAAGGAGAGAATATTCTAAAATTGATTTTAGTGATGATTGAACAACTATTTTAAATATATATCTAAACTATTGCATTGTAAGGTATGTGGATGATGAATCAAAAAGCTTAAGAAAGAAAATAAATGCAGATCCTGTTGTACCACATGGGATTCTAGTCTCACCTGTGGTCAGGGAAGTGATGTTCATACTGAGACCCGAATGTGAGTAGGAATTATCCCAAAGACAAACAGTAGCAAAGATACATCCCCCAAAGCAAGTCAGTATATGTGAAATACATGAAGGTATATTTGAGGCCCTGGAAGATGTGAATAGGCTTCTCCCAACAGAGGTCTCTCAATGGTTTGTGCTACACTACTGACCCAGAAGGTTGCTATGTGAATCAACTCAGCATTGTCATGGCAGAAAATTCTGGAAACTGTTTCTGTAAAGAGTATAGCTTAGAAAACTGCTTAGAGAGCTGTTCTGCCTGGGGACACCCGAGGTTGCCCTCAGACAGTATCAACATGAAGGCAATGGGTTTGGCTTTAGAGGACAAGTGAAGAGAAATGGAGGCTTTAAAAGCCCCGGTAGGGAGTGTGCTTATTCCTAGAGCAACAGCAAACCACTGGCGAGTTATCACAGAGAGCACATGGCTGATATGTACATCCCAAAAGTAGAGAGAAAATGTAGAGGAATAGTTAGGACCGTCGTGGGGACTTAGGTGAGGCAGGACGGTGTCATGCACAGTTAGCAGTGAGAACGGACCAATTAGGAAAGGGCTGGGTGTGCTAGGAAGTCAGATCTGTTGGGTTTGACATACCTTGGTTTCTGACTTGAGAAACGAGAGAGAAGATGCCGCTACTCATCAAGACAGGGTGCTTCAGAGAAGCTGTCCCCGGGTGTATGTGTGCAGTGCAGGGAGTGAGCAGAGTTAGGAAGTGAAAACTGAACAGAAATAGAGAAAGAGGCCAGTTGGAAAAGGCTAAATAGATTTTTTTAAAAGGAACCCTATTGGCACAACTATTAAGTCGTTGGCTGCTGACCGTGCCGTGCATTTGGCTCCTCAAGCGCACTAGCAGCTCTGCGGGAGGAGACCTGGAGTCTGCTACTGGAAAGATTGCGTCCTAGGAATCCCTGTCACCTGGGATTGGAATGAACTGAAATAGGCTTGAGTGCAAACCACCACCACCACCAACAGGATTTTAGGATGAACCCTGTTAGGGTTAATTTAAAACTTCACCACCGAGTTGATGCGGACTCAAAGCAACCCGATAGCACAGGGTAGAACTGCCCCTATGAGTTTCAAAGACAGTAACTCCTTACCAGAGTAGAAAGCCCCATCTTTCTCCCGAGGAGCTGCTGGTGCTTTTAAACAGCTGACCTTTGGGTTAGCAGGCCAACCGTCCCCACTGTTCCACCTGGGCTCCTTAGGCCAGGCTTAGGAGCAAGAAGTCACGGAGAAGCATTAAGTTGGATGGAAAATCACGTGAAGTTAATTTTGAGTTATAAGAACTGAATTTCTGGCCTACTGAGCATCTTCCTCAAGCTTTGCGTTGTCCCACAAAGCAAAACACGCACACACGTTAATGGAGACCACAGACACATTCTAGGCAAGAGCTTCAAAAGATTAGGTATTGGCTTTGAAGATGCAAGGATTCAAAATTTTGTGACATTTTTGTTTGATTTCAGGTATAGGGTTATATTTGAGGCATAAATCCAAATATTATATCCTAAATCAGAAATAATTCCAATTACCTTGTGGATGATTCTTCCAATTTGTGGATGGAACCACCTCTAGATAAAAGCCTACACTGGGAAGGAATTCCACAGTGTGATGTTTGTTCCTAATATTACTGTTAAGAACCTACAGTCTCCAATGTACATTTTTGTACTTGCACAAGCTCATATGATCTCTGAAGGGATATTTACAAATATCCTAGACACAATTGATGTATGGAATGTTGTAGGAGCTGTAAAATCCCCCAATAAAATGATTTTTTTTAAGTTAAAAAAAAAAAAAGAACTTGGTGAGTTAGTAAGGCAGATTAGCCCATCTTGGAATTGAGGTTCAGGGCAGCTGTGCTTTGCTTGAGACCTTACATCTAGCTGGAATTGGACTCTAGGCTTTCTTATTTCTAGTGTGGCATGAATTCTACTGCACTGCACTGCCTATTACAGACCCCACACCTTCTCTCACTGTGATAAATCCATTCCTTTGAATGTGATCGTGTGATGATCTGCTATTGATAAAAAGAAGACCAATATCTTCAAAGAGTTGGTATGCAAGATAAGATAAGATGGCTAGGGCTTATTAGCCAAGACAGCAGGGGGATCCGTAGGTCTGGGCTGAAAGTATGCCTCATCTCATCTTTTGAGATTTTCATTTTCATTTTTGGTAAGAGAGACTTGTCTTTGAAAATCTTTTCCTCCATGATCTCTCAGAACTCATTTTTGTTCGAAGCTCTCTAGAAATACCGATGCATCAGTTTGGTATTTGAGATGCTAGGGCTTAGGTCAGAGGTGTTACGAAATGAAGAGAGTATAGAAATTAAATATTTAGTAGCTTGTTAAAAATCAGATGGCCACCTGCCCTTCTGTTCTGAAATTTGAATTTATCTAATGACACAAAATCCAAGTAGTACCTTTGAAGTTTGAGGTTGTAGAGTTGGAATATTGTAATTTCAGCTTTTGGAGTAACACACTACTGTATACTGGAACCTACTCAATATTTCTTTTTCTGTTTTGAATTTTCTTGTCACTGTTGCTGAGAACTATGCACAGCAAAACATATACCAACTTAAGTGTCTGCATGTGTAATTCAATGTGACTACATTCATCAAGTTGTAAAACTTTCTCACCCTCCTTTGCTGGTTTGTTCCTCCTCATTAGCATACATCCATTTGCGGTCCACGTCTTGTCTTTCAAATTGAGGTTGTCCATTTGATCTCAGATAGATAGTTCTAAACAGAACATAATGCTCAAGTTGATATTCTTCACCAGTTATCCAACATTTCATTGTGTAAAGACTTCAGGGAATATTTTTGCTTAAAATTTAAATATTATTTGAGGTCAATAATTTTGGGGGTTTATCCAGGCTCCATCGCCTCAGAAAGTATTGAGTCATTGAGAATTTGAAATTCTGTCTTGAATTTGCTTCTTTAATCATGATTATTTTTATGGAGTCTTCTTTGATCAAAACATTCAGTATTGGGAGCTGGGGCCCATGCCGTCGTCGTTCGGGTCTCGTGTTCGAGAAGGAAGATGCTCGGGGAGACAGTTCAGCACACACGTTCTCGAGTCCCTTCCTGTTCCAGACTCTGCTTCTTGCGCTTTATTCCAGGCCTGTAGGGGCCAATTGTCATGCACTGGATGGTCCTTTACAAGTTTCTAAGACACAGGCGCTACACAACAGACTGGGAGGCAGAACAGAAGCACTAAATTCATCACCAATCCGATGAGTTGGAATGGCCTGTAAAACCATGACCTCTAAACCAAAGGACCAAGTCCCATGAAGTGGTTGGTTGTGCATAAGCAGCTTCCACAGCTAGTTCTTCTTCTTTTTTTGGACTGCTAGTAATAGTTGTAAATGGATCTATCATGAAATGTTTGCCAACTACACTTTTCATAGGCGTACAACTTACTGACAATAATAACAAAAATTAGCTGTGCCACACTACCCTCCATTAGTGCAGTTTTCCATCATGGCTAATCACCTCTTTCTCCCTCCCTCCTGCCCCTGGTAACTAGGAATAAACTTATGCATTTGCCTTTTCTTGCTTTTTAAAAAAAAATACAAATGAAGTCCTGCACTAGCTGTCTTTCTTTATGATTGCCTTACTTCGCTCAGCGTGATCGCTTCAAGCTCTGTCCCGACTGTAGCATGCATCAAGACTTCATTTCTCTTCCTGGGTGAGGAGTGGTGCATTGTACCACCTTTTGTTTCTTCCTTTAGGCTGTTTCCACCTTTGGGCTGTACTGAATAGTGCTGCAGGTACAGGGACGTTGTAGTCTTTGGAAGTGGAAATACTACATCGATGGTAGTTTTATTTTTAGTTTTTTTAACTTATGAAACACCACAAAATGTTCCACAATACTCATGCCTTTCCACTAGCAATGTGTAAGGGTTCCAACTTCTGCACATCCTCACCAAAATTAGTTATTTTATGGTTCTGTTGTTGTTGTTAGCCCTAATCATCCTAGTGGGAATGAAAGGGTATCTCATTGTGCGTTTGATTTGATATTGAGCATCATTGTATGTGCTTGGTAGCCTCTTTGGTGAAATTTCTACTCAAACTTGTTGCCATTTTTGTGTTTGGACAATGTGGTTAATAAACTGGCATAAAGGTTTTTCCTTCTCATCAAAGCACGCAGCTAATGGCACAATTGTGATCCTTCTCTAGGTCGTATAACACGTCAAACCTGATGGAAGACATGAAGCTTTTGTACAGAACGGCTGGTCAGCAAGGCAAAGGAATCACGTTCATTTTCACAGACAGTGAAATCAAAGAAGAGTCATTTTTGGAATATATGAATAACGTTCTATCATCTGGAGAGGTAGGAGCCCATTTCTTTTTCACGGATTTCATCTTTTGCATTCCCTCCGCCTGTAGAGAGCTCAGTATCTCCTGCCCTTTGGGGATTAGGTGATCAGTATGAACAATAGTGGAAGGAAAACCCCCTATCCAAATGCTGAGCTGGCACTTCCTTCCAAAGGCTTCAATGGATGATCCAGAGGAGAAATGATAAACAACTGGAGCTTTATTCAGGTGCACCTCATTTTACTGCTTTGCAGATACTGTGCTTTTTACAAATTGAGGGTTTGTGACAACCCAGCATCAAGCAAATTTATTAGCACCATTTCTTCCCCCAACCACATGTGCTCCCTTCAGACCTGTGTCACATTTTGGTAATTCTCACAATATTTCCAACTTTTTCATAATGCTATTATACACTTAGTAACTGAAAATCAAACTGAAACCAAATTTACTGCCATTGAATTGATGCTGACTCATAGCGACACTGTAGGACAGGATAGAACTGCCCCCCTGTTTTTCTCCCATAGAGCTGCTATTGGTTTTGAACTGCTGACCTTGCATTTAGCAGCCCAATGTACAACCCCTCTGCTACCAGGGCTCCTTCTAATAGCCCGCAGTATGGTATAGACATAATTTTTATATTCATGGAGAAATAAAACACTTCATGCGGCATGCTCTACAGAGATGTACATTTTATTGTCATTGTCTGGATTCAAACCTGCAATATTTATGCCTGTATGTGGCCATTCTCCTATTTATAGTGGGGCAGTGATTGGTCATTGGTAGAATTCTTGCCTCTGATGCGGGAGACGTAGGTTCAATTCCCCTCCAGTGTACCTTCTCACAGCCACCACCTATCTGTCCGCAGAAACTTGAAGGTGCTATGATGTTGAACAGGTTTCAGTGTAGCTGAAGGAAACACTGCCTGTCCTACGCCATCCTCACGATTGTTGTGCTGTTTGAGCCCTTAGTTGCAGCCACCGTGTCATTCCAACTCCTTGAGGGCCGTCCTCTATCACGGACCCTCTTTGTTTTGCTGGCCTCCTTTATTGCCAAATCCCTTAAAGGACTTCAGTGCTCCAGTTAACAGTAGACTCATTTATGTGTTTGAAAATGTGCCTGTCTCATGTTGAAGACATTAGGTAAGTTTTCCTAAAGCTGAATTTAAGAACACAATGGAGGGAACATTTGGTGTTTTCATTGGTGTGGACTGGATTGTTAATATCTGTGCTTCTTTGTAAGGTCTCCAACCTGTTTGCCCGCGATGAAATCGATGAGATTAATAGTGATCTTACCTCAGTCATGAAGAGAGAACACCCTAGACGGCCTCCCACCAACGAGAACCTGTATGACTACTTCATGAGCCGGGTCCGGCAGAACCTCCACATTGTGCTCTGCTTCTCGCCGGTGGGCGAAAAATTCAGAAATCGAGCCTTGAAGTTCCCTGCCCTGATTTCTGGATGCACCATAGACTGGTTCAGCCGGTGGCCTAAAGATGCCCTAATCGCTGGTTAGTGTGGTGCACATTTTCATGTCGATCTGTTTGGCCTAAGGTATATGTGTGAGGGTGTGATTCCCTGCCTCCCTACGTTCCTCTTTCTCTCTCTCCTTCCTTTTCTTCTCTCCTCTCTCTTTTTCTTCCATGCTGAGCTGTTGGGTGTCATTGCGTTTGGGTTGAACCAGAAATCACTCTGCCCACTGTTCAAAAAATTTCTTCTATCTGGCCACAAGATGGTGCTCTTTCTCATTTGGTCCAAACCCCAAATCAAACAGTGCATCCAGTAGATGCTGACTCACAGTGAAAGGGTAGAACTGCCCCGATGCATTTCCAAAAAAGGTAACTCTATAGGAGGAGTAGAAAGCCCCATCTTTCTCCTACAGAGCAGCTGGTGGTTTCAAACTGCAGACCTTGTGGTTGGCAGCCCAACAAGTAACCACTAGACCATCAGAGTACCTTTTCTTATTTGATATTGTTGTCTTCCCTCCCCCTCACCCCCCACCCCGCAGTGTGGTTGTTAGACAATGACATTTTCAATCTGCACCCTCTTGAACTAGTTTACAAAGATTTTCATCTTTTCAACGATGCTCAAAAGGATGTTTGTCTTGGTTGGGCCCTTAGGCAGGCTCTGGGATGTCCTAGGAAGGTGCTGTGGATTTCTTCTCATTGATGGCACTTGAGTTTCTTGTAAGAGAGTCTCTCACCC